TTCAGTGATCTGCACAAGCTGATACATTTGTGGACTGCTAATCCTTCAGTACTGACAAAGCAGTATGCTACTTCTATAAATTCATTATGAAACCAAAGAAATAATAGAACAGCCTCAGAAGCTTAAAATATTAGAAGTTTTTGATGGTTTGTTGGTTGTTTGGGTTTTTTTTTTGGGGGGGGGAGGAAGAGAGGTGTGTGTGTTAAGCATTTTCTCTCTAAAGCATCTGAAATCCTCTAAAGCCTTGCAGGGATTACCATCTTTTAAATTTCCAAAAGTTTTACCTTACAATCACGTTTTTAAAGCTGAGTTTGAAAGCTAGCTGAGTGACCCAGTAACACATCATGTAGGGTGCAAGTTTATCAGGTACCAATCCATAATTCAAATGTATCTCCAAGTCATGGACTTCTGTATCATACTACCTACCATTTAATGTTTTCACCCAGCATAAAATCCTAGAATCATTTAGGTTGGAAAAGACCTTTAAGACTGAGTCACAATTAACCCAGCACTACCAAGTCCACCACAAAACCATGTCCCCAAGTGCCACATTCACATGTTTTTTGAACACTTCCAGCAATGGTGACTCCATCACTGCCCTGGGCAGCTTGTTTCAATGCCTGACCACCCTTTCAGTGAAGAAATTTTTCCTAATATCCAACCTAAACCTACCCTGATGGATCTTGAGGCCATTTTCTCTCATCCTGTCACTTGCTACCTGGGAGAAGAGCCCAATCCCCCACTCAGCTATAACTTCCTTTCAGGTAGTTGTAGAGAGCTATAAGGTCCCGCAGAGCCTCCTTCAGGCTAAACAATCCCAGTTCCCTCAACTGCTCCTCATAAGACTTGTGCTCTAGTCCTTTTACTAATTAACTCTGATCTATTTGTATGTCAACAATAACAAATCTCCAGTCCCTTCATGTCTGGCAGTATGTGTGCTCCAGACTTGGCAGTTTCTTTTTACCCAAGCAACGACCCATTGAATAGGCAATACTTTTGCAGGCCTTTCAGAGCCACAAAACAGTGAACAATGTCTCAGACTGGGAATCCCTCTTGAACTATTCCCTCCCAGAACAGCACTTAGAGCCATTATTCAATTACCATCTTTGTGATAAATTCTGACTCTACATGCTAGGACACAATGAAACTCAGTCCATAGTGCCAATATTTCATTTCCCTTGCAGGAAAGGTGAGTAACATACAACCCTCTTTTTAAATTCAGCACAGAGATGATGGCCCTTTTCAAGGTGAAGGTGCTATCAAATGAAAAGTCAGTTAAGGGATTATTTATAAATAATTGCTTCAGTGCATACCATCAAGAATTTGTATGTGTAAATACATGCATTTTCAGGAATCCCATGTGTAGTGGGTTTGCATAGCTAGGTTTTGGTAGCAGGGGGGCTACAGGGGTGGTTTCTGTGAGAAGCTGCTGGAAGCTTCTTCCATGTCCAGCAGAGCCAATGCCAGCTGGCTCCAGGATGAATGGGCATAACATATTTAAGAAGAAAAAGAAAAAAAGTTTTTGTGCAGATGTAACTGTGGCCAGAGAAGAGTGGAGTGAGAATGTGAGAGTAACAGCCCTGCAGACACCAAGGTAAGTGGAGAAGGAGGGACAGGAGGTGCTCCAGGCGTTGGAGCTGAGATTTCCTTGCAGCCCATGGTGAAGACCATGGACAAAAATTCGCCCCACAAAAAACAAAATAATATAATCATAACACAGAACAAAAATGGACAACTTACACAAAATCCACCCCTTGTCCCTTTGACACAATTACAGCAATTCCCCATGATCATTCTACTCTCTAATATTGTTCGGTACTTGTTTTGCCCATTACCTCTCTCAATTACTATCCTTATCTCAAAATCCTCATGATCTGAGTGATGGCACCAAAAAGACTGTAGTGGGTTGACCCTGGTTGGATGCCAGACATCCATCAAAACCTCTCAATCACTCCTGTTCACAGCTGGACATGGGAGAGAAAATATAACAAAGGATTCATGGGTTGAGATAAGGACAGAGAGATCACCCACCAAATACCATCACATCATGGGCAAAACAGACTCAAATTAGAGAAATTAATTTAATTTATTATTAACAAAATCAGAGCAGGATAATCAGAAATAAAATAAGACTTTAAAAGCACCTGGATATGGGTAATGGTGGTTATGACTAGTTCATCACACATGGTTCCTGCTGCTGCTCAGGGAGAGGAGTCCTTCCCCTGCTCTAATGTGGGGTGTGGGGGATGGGTCCCGGGATGGGTCCTGCCCACAGGAGACAGTTCTCCACGAACTTCTCCAGCGTCCTTTCCACAGGCAACAATCCTCCCCAAATTGCTCCCACGTGGGCCCCTCTCCACGGGGTGCAGTCCTTCGGGCACAGCCTGCTCCAGCGTGGGTCCCCCATGGGGTCACAAGTCCTATCAGGAAACCTGCTCTGGCATGAGCTACTGTCTCCATGGATCTGCAGGTCCCTGCTCCAGCACGGACCTCCCAGGGGTTCACAGCCTCCTCTCAGGCATTCACCTGCTCCAATGTGGGGCTCCTCCACCAGCTGCAGGTGGATCTCTGCATCCCCATGGACCTCCGTGGGCTGCAGGGGCACAGCTGCTTCACCACGGGCTACAGGAGAATCTCAGCTCCAGCGGCTAGAGCACATCCTGCCCCTTGTCCTGGTTTTAAAAACTCATCGGGGAAAATAAGGCCACTCGAGCCGCCCCCTTTTCTATAGCGTTGAAGTAAATACTAAGGAAGATTGAAGTCAGAGTCACAATTTACTAAAGAGGCTTGCAATAAACACAGCAATAATAACAAACGATTGTACAAAAAGAAAATGGTATAACCAACAAAGGCGATATGAAGCCTGAAGCAATATGACCAAGGGTTCTGCGGTTTAACACCCTCCCTCCCCCGCTGCCAGAAAAAAACAAAACAAAACCAAAATAAAAAAAACAACCAAACACCCCCCCCAGCCAAAGAAAACAAAAAACCAAACCAAACAAAAAACCCCAACAAACGAACCGAAAATACAATGACTAAACAAACCCCCCAGAAGCTCGGTCGTCCAAGCCGAGTCGACTCTCCCTCCGCTGAGTTCAGTTCGGCACCAGGGTCCTGCACCGCCTCTACCACCAGTCCACTGTGCTGGGGGTGTGTGTGGGTCGGTTCTGCCGCTTTGCTGCCTCTTCCCAATACCCCGCTGGACTCCTTTTTCGGCTTGGCTAGACTCAGCTGATATCGGCGCCGCCGTCTCTCCTCAGCCCTTCGTCCTGCAAAAACGTCCTGGAAGGACGGGAAAAGAGGGGAGAAACGGCAGGGCGCAGGGTGCCGGGGTCCGCAGGCTCCTTAGCTGAAGCGAGCCAGTCAAAACTTGCCACATTTGTTTCCGGCCGTGGCATTTTCCCCCTACCGGAACTACTCCCCCCAGCAGTGACGTGACTGGTATTAAATACACAGCGCTAAAAGCGTCACCCCTCCTTCTCCACTGATCCTCCTCTCTTTCTAATTGATGATATGGACCTGTAGCTCGTCTTGTTCATTTTTTTTTTTTTCACTACTGGGGCAATAACTGTAATTGTTCTTTGTGTCCCTATCTCAGCCATTATTATCCTCAAATGCAGTTTGGGTTCCTGCCTCACTCAACTACAGTCCTCTGAGAGTACTGAACTGAGGCTCAATAGGCACAGGCCAGGCCCCAGTACAGGGTGAGGAGCTGCTGGTTTTTGGTGGGGTAGGCAAGGCACACTTCTATCAGTTGATAGGTCAGTTTGTCAGGGTTGATTACCTGTTCAGGTATAAAGTGCCAGGTAATGGGAGGTGAGAACTGCCCTAGGAACCTGCCCAAATCCTTCCACCCACCCTCCCAGTCAGGAACTGGATGCCTCAGGGCAGATTTCACTATCTGCTCACCTTAAATTTGTTTTCTCTCACATCAGGATGACACCAGATTCCATGAACTCCATAGTGTACCAATGGTATTAGCTAATATCGTTAACAGCATTAAGCAGTTTACATAAGGATGAACAATGACCACGGGAGGCTGCATTATAAAAGCCTTCACAGCAATCTCAGGCAGGCAGAGGGAAGTGTATTCCCTCATTGTTCACAAAAGACAGTTCCCCCAGCATAACAAGGCCATCAGTGTAAGGGCAAAGCATAGAGCCATTGTTTGTGTTAACATGTTTCCAAACTCAGCAAAATAGAGATAAGGAGTGCAGCTGACAAACTCCATGCCCCCCATAGGAGCTTGCTACTTGATAACTACTATTTACTATAGGATGATTTATACATTTATATAAATTTAACTGCACTTGTCTCACCCCACAGGTTGTGTGCCAAAAAAGGACTGTAGTGGGTTGACCTTGGTTGGATACCAGGTGCCCACAAAGCTGCTCTATTGATCCCTTTCCCAGCTGGACAGGGGAGGGAAAATAAGATGGAAAACAACTTGTAGGTTGAGATAAGGTAGTTTACTAAAGCAAAAGCAAAAGTTTGTGCACACATGAGCAAAGAGAAAAAATGGGTTTATTCTCTACTTTCCATTGGTGAGTGATGTTCAGACACTTCCTGGGAAGCAGGGCTTCAGCACACAGAGTGGTTGCTCTGGAAGGCAAACACTGTAAAGTAATGAATACCCCCATTCTTCCTTCCTACCTTAGCTTTTATATCTGAGCTGATGTCATATCCCTTTGGGTAATTTAGGTCAGCTGGTCTCGTTATGTCCCCATCCAGGATCTTGTCCACTTCCAGCCCCTTGATGGGGGAATGTTGGAGAGACAGCACTGATGGTATGCCAGTGCTGCTCAGCAGAAGCCACAACACTGGTGTGTTATCAGAACCTTTCCAGCTCCCAATGCAAAGCACAGCACTGGGAGGGCTGCTGTGGGGAAACGAACTCCAGCTCAGCCAGACACAATATACCATGTTTCACTGAAGTAAAACATGTACAAAAGATGACATTTTCTGGATAAGACAATTTATTTTAACAAATACATGTATCTTTATGATGAACTGGAGGCTGCAACAGCTGCTCTCTTGGGCTTTGGCGTGGCTCCCTCACGGAATCCATTCCTACAAGTAGAAATATGGTCATCATTTTTTGAAAGGTTGACTTTTGCTCCAAGTTATGTTCCAAGAAGCAATGTTTCAGATCAGGTTCACCAGCTTTTTTCAGCTTCTCTCAGTAATGCACTGAAATCACTATGGAGTTCATATGTTCAGTGGTTTTTCTTAAGAAACATAATTCACAAACTGTTTGGAATAAGCAATATGGTTTTCTCTCTCTTCTGCTGAAGTAAATGACTTCTTCAAACAGGAAGATTTCATTAACTGAGTAAACATTGCAAGACTGAATTCGATACAGCACATCCACTGAAGGCATGCCTAACTTTATGTTCCTACTAAGCAGCTCGGCAAAAGATTTCGCATTTGTTAGCACTGAAGTGCAAGTCAATTTCTTACAGAAACTGACCCCAAGCTTACTTTTGGAGATGACATTTCTACTTCAGCAACACTTGGTAGAAATCAGGCTGCAGTTGCACATTGTAAGGTGTTTTCTGGATGCTTCTGGGTAAGACTATGCTTACTGAAAAAACACAGATGAATGGATCCCTCAAATACACCTAGGTCCAGGACTTAAAAGACTTACTTTTCACTATTAAATCTAATCTACATTTTTAGGAAAAGACTTTTGAATTGCTTGGGTTTTTTCATCCATCTTTCTGGTGTATCAGGCCAAAAGTTACAGAGCTGTGCTTTAGTACATGGAGGTCATATAAAATGAAATTCTTAGCAAGTTTAACAGTACAGTACCTTTTAAGTACAACTCAAAGCTTTATAACAGATTTTAGAAACCTGTAACTCAGAATCAGATGCTACTTACTAATTGTACTCCAAATTAAAGAGCAACCACTGAAGTATTTAAATGCTTTTCTTGTGGGCAAGAAGGGATTGGGATGCGTTTCAAGAATTGTTTCTTAGAAAAATCCAACTTCAGTGCAACCATCAATTTGAGACTCCCAAAAAGAGGTAATGCTACACAAAGTATGCCTTTTCAAATGTGAGTTGTGAGTGTTTTATTACAATACCCTCTGTGTTCTGTACTATCTACAATTAACAGAAACATCAGAGTTTGCTATACAGCCTATACTTTAACAATGAACGAGCTTTTTATAATTGGCAGTATATTCTTTTGCAGATATGACATCATTTATTTTCACAATATATTTTAAAAGAAACACCATACCTCATCAAGCATACTAAATAAGTGTTAACTTGGAATGATGAATTTCATAATTCAGTGAAATCCATTGAAGATGTCAGATTACACTAGTTTGTAATAAAATGTTGTACCTGAATCGACGGTAGACCCTTTTCAGGTGCCTCATGCGACCAGTACCAGTGGTGTTGCGTCTTTTAGCCTTTGCACTCCAGTTATCTAGAACACAGAAATTACTGTTATTCATCTACACCAAATAATTAGTTGCATGGTACATTTGAATAGCACAACTATTCAATTTCACAGAAGAAAAAAAATTATAAATTAAGTAAATTATTATTCAGTAATACTGTATGTTAGCTGAAAAACAGTTAAATCAGTATTAATTTCAAAAAATTTCCTACCACTGTAAGATGATACAGTATTCTTTCTTGGTTAGAAAAAAGCTAGATTATTGAAGACGACAAAAAACCACAAGTTTTCAAACTCAACTCTTACTTACAATTTCTCTTACGCTTAGCAGGGTAACCACATTTCCCACAGGTAGATTTCTGCAGATGGTACGCCTTGGACCCACACCGACGACACAAGGTGTGTGTCTTATTTCTTCGCTTACCAAATGATGATGTACCCTTTGTCTGAGAAATATTTCAAGACATTGCACATTGTAAATATCACTATCACTCAAAAGTCATGTAACTCAAAACACAGGCTTCTCTAAAAAACTCTCAAATTCACCAAGTTCAGTAAACATGTCAGAGGCACACTGATCTCTGAAACACTGACTCAGTTTCTTTTAAGGTATCCTCCATTTCAAGAAACCAGTTTCTTACACTTCTCTTTGCCATTCCTATCCCCCTGCCCAGTGCTGAAATAAAATGAAGCCACCGAGTGGTTATCTCCAACTCCTTTCTCATCTCCCTCAAATTTATCGGTGATGAACAGTAAACTGCTTTTTCCTGAAGAAATGTATTTATTTTCATAGATTAACCGTACACTCACAAGAGGCTTTGGCAATCAAACTCCCTCTTACTACGTTCTCTGAAAGGCTTCCTCATCACTGGGAAGAGCGCTGTCCCGGCCAGGCCCGGAGCAAGCACGGAGGGGACCCCGAAGGAGATCCCGTGGTAGCACAGCCCTATACCCCATCGCTGCCTCTTCGCCCAGGACGCGATGTCCCACGCCCCCACACAGGCCAGGAACGGGGCCTTCAGGCTCAGGTCCCAGCCTCGTCTCCCCGCAGCGCAGCCCCACCGCCGAGCCCGGCCACAGCACGGCGCAGGGCCGCCCCACGCCCCAGACGGGGCCCACGGCCTCACAGAGCCCGGCACGGCGGCGGATGATGACAGATATCGCCGCACCCAGGTCCCTGCACTCACCATCTTCTCCGGGGGTTAGCACCAAAGAGACTATGCCCCGCCCCGCTTCCGCTATAGTCCGGCAAGCGCTTCCGGAGACGTGCTTGGGACTGTTTGGTTGGGCATGGCGGAGGCATCCCGTTCGGTGGCCCGGCTGGATAGGCCCGGCCCGGCTCGGCAGAAAGTGAGTGCTCTCCTTGTCTTAGCTGCATCTCAAATTGTACTCAGGGGTCCCCCCCATGTGATGTCCCCTTCCCGCCGGGCCCGGACTACTGGGATAGGCAGGGTCCCTGGAAGCTGTGGTGTCGTGAGCGAGACCCTCGGGGGCCAGACCCCAAAGGTTCCTCGGTGACATCACACAAAACCTGGTGCTTATTAGGGCGACACAATGTGTCCTAGGCCATGGTGCAACTGGTCCTGGAAATTATTAAGGGGTATTTATGTGTAAATTTAACACACCTAGTTTGCCTTATTAGGACATAATTTTTAACTCTAATGCATCCTCCCTGCAATAGTACCCATGCTGCTATTTACAGGTGCCTACAGCTCCACTTCAGGCTGCAGAATCAAGTCCTGGCCTTATTTCTACGTCAAGTGAAACCTATTTTCATGACTGAAATGAAAATTTCCCCTTCAGGGACAGGATATTTGTGGCTGTTATACATACTTTCAAAGTGAACTGCTATAAAAAATAGGCACGCTGTGCTTGTGAGTGTACCTCCCAAGCCCCACACACGCAAGGTGACAGTCTGCCTAAAGCATTGCAATGGACATCATTAATGTAAAATTGTTTTTTATTCAGATGCACCACTTAGATTCTTACATGCCAGCCGTTGTGGTTTAACCCCAGCCAGCAACCAAATCTCGCACAGCTGCTTGCTCACTCCCTCATCGGTGGGATGGGAGTGAAAATCGGAAGGTTAAAAACTAGAAAACTCATGGGTTGAGATAAAGACAGTTTATTAGGGAAAGTGTGAAAAACACATTCATTCTCCTGTGAAAATTTACACAGTTTAATAAAGGACAATAGGAGACAAAGACAGTAAAGCAAAGATTGGCACTCAGCCAAGAGCACACCTTCACCTTCAGGGATACCCCTTAAATACCTTTTCTATTACATCAGCCTGTTGCATATTCATAGACCCTTATGCATATCCATAAGCTAGTTTACATATTCCAGGAACTATTTTACATGGCCCCTCCTCGGGTCCACCTTTTCAGAGCATGTGTGTTTCTTGGCTGTGGTTTTGGCTCCTTCTCCTTATCACTTCCAGTTTGGGCTTTGGTCCATAATTTCTTCAGACAGCAGATGCTGATAGCTGGCATATCAATAGCAGGGTCCTCATTACATGTTCAGTGGATGTTATCCCGACCAAACAGACAGTTCACTCCTAACTATATCAGCTACCCCTACTACTATATCTAAGTATTTTGTTAATAGCAGAAATAAAAGCAAAGTTATTTTAACATTATACATATAACATTCATCCTAATATTTGCGAAAAGCCAACAACATAATATGTACTTATAACAATCTATCCTCTTCCCTTTTTACAAATCATTTGGCTTGAACAGTATTTCTTGTTTTCCATCCTCCATTATTTGCTTATTTTTTCATAAATCATTTTTGCTTCCTCCAAGAGGTCTTCCATATTTTGTTTCTTTAGCACCATAATCTTTTGTGTAGTCCCAGATGTAGTCAATTTGGGGTCTATAGGCATTGTTACCACTTGCATGCCCCAGACTACACTGGAGATGAGCTGAATAAAGCAGGGGATCAAGCAGGGAAGAAATATCAAACCAGCTGTAGCACATAAAAGGAAGAAGCCTAGTTTCTTCCACCATTCTATTGCCAATACGTTATGCCACCAGCTAGTTTTTAGCATTGATTCCCATTTTTGAACTAGTACATGGGCGATTTTTCTGATATCATTGGCTATATCCAGGACGGCATCTCCGTTATCATCTATTTTCAAACAACAATCTGATGTATTAAATTTTCCACAAACACCCCCTTCTTCAGCTAATAGTCTAAGGCCAACCTATTCTGATAAACAGCAGCTCTTGTTTGGCTTTGTTGCCTTGATATTAATTCCATTGCCCAACCAGTTCTGTTAGTTATCTTCACAACTGCTTGGAGTCTTATAATACAATTCAACATATAAATTGGGGTCCAATATCCCCAACTCCCATCTGGTGCCCAGGTGGCTGGCCCATATGTTTCCACTATGTGTTCTTGGGGCCACTCCTCATCTCCCCATTTTTGGGATCCCCCAATCAAGTCCCTTTTATTTCTTTTTAGGTCCTCATAAACTGGTATTCCTAATTAATCTCCATTTGGTCCTGGTAGAAGAAAAAATCCTGGCTGTATAATTCCCAAAGCGCAACTCCCTCTCCAACTAGAGGGGAGTCTTGGGTATGCTTTCTTTCCACATATCCAAAATAAGCCATCTGGTGCCTTCCAATAATAATTTTTCTGTTGATTTATATTCTCCCAAAATTTGGATATTTCTGGGATCCCAGAATAAGGATTTTTGCCTGTATAATTTCATTGAAAAAGTCCAATTTTGTTTTTATATTTACAATTCCTCTTTTTCATTTCTCCTCGAGTCCAATACTGAGTTGGTTCCTTTGGGATCCACCATGTAAAAGTTCCATTGCTAACTTTATATCTCTTACAGGGAGTATTTCCTACTTCATTATGAACATTTTTCCCAGTGTGTCAGAGACATTCCTCTCCTATCACTGTTGAGCTGAAAATCCACCCTTCAAGTCGGTTTTCCCCCCTTGTATTTGCCTGGTTCCACTTAAGGAGTTCAACTGAGCCTAAGCTACTGCCTTTCCATGGCCATTCTTCTGACATCAAAGCTCCCCCACAAACCCAGCAGTAGGTTATGTTAAGTTCCTTACTTATTCTTTCCCCTAATTCCACAAACAGATTTTTCCCCAGCCTTGAGATATCTATTTCCTTTTCTAATTGCTGTTCAAGTTTTGTATATAAATCTTGAAGTGAAATTGGCACAGATTTTGATTGCTGTACTGGTTTTGCCTTTCTGCTTACCAGTTGTTCTTTAATCAAATCTTGGACCTTACTCCCACTAGCAAAAGTGAAACAAACCCATCTCTTTCCTTTAGGACATTTACTTCCCAACCTGTTACCACTTGTTCCTAAATTCTCCACAATCCACTACTTTTTCTCATTTTGTATACAATTGCCTAATTTGGATGGGTTATAATAGTGACTGTTGATATGGGTGTGTGTAATAAAAAAGGAACCTTGGTGTCTTTCCATATACAGTTTTCGGTAACATCTGTGACATGACTTTGCCGGTATCCTGAAAGGGAAAAGAAAAGATGAGTGACAGAAAAAGGAATAATAGAGGTCTGGTATGGCTTATCCTCCCACCTCCCATGCCTATGTGGCTTCTACCCATAGCAGGTGTATATGATCTTCTCGGTGGTGAGTACAGCGGCCAATCCAGTCTTGCCCTCTTTTTCCTTGTCACTTCCTTTTTGCTAATTTCCAGGCAAATAGTTTTTGACATTCCTTAACTGTAGTTTACCACTGTTCTTCAGGTATTTCCTATTCAACAGGCACTAATAATTCCCATCCACAAAACAAATTTATTATTTCAGTTGTTTTGAGTTCTACCTGGATAGACAATAGATTTGGCACTCGACACTTCCTGCAAGGAGAGCATCAGTTGTGTGAACTACAATACCAATTTTTCCCATAATTCAAACATTTACATTTAACCCAGCTAGCATGTCCGGTATTTGGATGAATCAAACAGGGTATACGATATGGCACTGATGGAAGTTGTAATTCCTCCTCTTCTTAGTATAAGTCAAAGGCTAAGGTCAAAATACAAGAACTCTCTGTCCAAAACAGTCCTGTTTGAAATGGAAGTATTCCTCCCCAAGGAGTGTACTGGAGGTGTGTCAGGAGTTATCCAGGTGGTACTTAAAACCACTGATATATGCTTGGCCTTATTTCCCAATTAAGTGTAATTCTTCGTACCTTCCTTGATTCATTTGGGTCCTCCCAGTTCATTACCACCTGGTCCCCACTTGAGAGTCAATTTGGTATCACCCGATTTAGATGTTATTGTCCATTCCTTAGGTTCTTCCACAGGTCCTTTGATTCTGCTGGCATGGATCCACCCTCGTTCCCTGGTCCGGATCGCTGCCTCAGTCGTCAGTAGTACCTGAAAAGGACCTTCCCATTGTGGAGTTAAAGATTACTCTTTCCATGTTTTCACTAGTACCCATTCCCCTGGATGAATATTATGGATTTTAAATTCTAAAGGTGTAGTTTGAGGGATTATCCCTTTCAACCGCAAATTTTCAGGAGTTTTTGCAGTTGTGGTTACATATTTTCTAACACTCATTTCCCCTACTTCATAAGTAGCAGTTTCATGTTGGGTGGTCAGAAAGGGTAATCTGAACATCATCTCATAGGGTGACACTCCCAAGTCTGACCTGGGTTG